GCTGTATGTTGATGATAATGCAACTGAGAGAGAGTTTAATGTGCACTTCTCGTGCTGTGTTTTGTTTAGCTCTTATGGTGATTTTTTTGGAGTGAAAAAGGACTCACACTTAATAAAACATCAGTAAAGTTTTAGTCATCATTCAGATGAGGTCCGCTACACTTATGAAAGTTACAAAAGTTATTTAGTCAAGAATAGTGTGCGATCTTTTGTCTTTTGTTATTTGATTAGCATTAAAGTGCAGACAGCAGCGCTAGGATTATGCAACAGACATTATACCGCTCAGTGCCTTCACGTAGTTAATTAATAAACCATCGGTTTGTTATATCGGCCTTTTTCCTTATATAGCCGACATGCCGATGGTTGTAAATTGAGGAAAAATCGGCCGATAAATATCGGCAGCCGATACGTCGGTGCATCCCTAAAAAAAAACTAATAAAAATGGCAAAAACACACAACTAAATTACTACAATTTAAGCTAAAGAACTAATACTAAAATTAAAATGAAAACTGAAAATGTAAAAATATAAATGAATTCCAAGTATTAATAAAAACTATAACAGTATACTCAAATTCTAAAATAACACTGGTCTAAATAACTACAAAATTTTATGGGTCCTGTAGTTCATATTCATGTGTTTATTAACCATTTACTTACATGAACACATTACAATAAATATATAAATATTTTATACATTAAAGAAATTAATAACCATGACAGTAATAAAGTAATAGTTTATATCACGTATTTTGTAATAATTTACAAATATGTGCATATTTAATAAGAGAAGGCATAATGTCAATATTTTACATTGCATACTGGTACACAGAAAGGCTGTCACATTTCTGTGAGTTTATCCCACAGATGCAAATGTGTGCATATTTAAAACTATAAAATTTGATGAAATTTTTATTGAGTATTTTTCATACACCAGTGTATATCTTTAATAAAAGCAAACATGTCAGTCTAATTGCTTGTTGAAATTTCCTTTCACTTCACTTTCAGCACATAAAATGGATCAGTTAGAGGAACTAATGAAGGATGAATAAAAGAGAGGAGAAAAGGGCCGTACCGTCCGCGTCGAGGCGGTTCCTCCAGCGCTCCCAGAGAGATCAGGAGCTGTTCGGCAGAGATCAGCACCTCGGATGAGGGAGGAGTTGGGAACGGGAAATTCACAACCTAAACACATGCAAAATATATAAATAAGACCAAACCATGCTGTCATGTGTCTTTTTAATTTCATGATGAAAGGAAACCTTTTCAATGTTGAGGTCTTTCATTTGAAGAACGAGGTCATCGACGGGACGCCGTGTGATTTCAGCCTCTGAAAACAAACTAAAATCTCCAAACACAGCGGACGAATAGAGCCTACACACACATACACAAATATTAAGTCACTTTAAAATCACACACTTCCAGATCTTCCTCTCGTTCAGATTCCTCCATAATACAACACTGGTCAAATTCTGACCTATAGCAGTGGCCTGGCTCTGTTCTGCCCGCCCTTCCTGCCCTCTGATTGGCTGAAGCCTGTGAGATCCAGGTGACCTTAAAGGAGGAGACGCCTGTCACTCTGTCATAAAACCTCTTCTTCACTCGACCGCAGTCCACCACATACTTGATGCCGGGGATTGTCAGGGACGTCTCGGCCACGTTGGTCGCAACGACGCACAGACGCGCTCCAGCGGGAGGAGGACGGAAAACCTGAACACACACAACACAACTAAATGAGCTGAATACAACAATAACTGTAACAAATGTTTTCATTTTTACATGTCTGAGGGTTGAGGTCCATCTAATGCTAGTACATTTGGCAGCATTTTACCATTATTCATCAATGGGCATTTAAAGTGAAAAAAGTGACGTGACATGTGGCCAAGTATGGTGACCCATACTCGGAATTAGTGCTCTGCATTTACCCATCCAAAGTGCACACACACAGCAGTGAACACACACACACACACACACACCATGAACACACTCCCGGAGCAGTGGGCAGCCATTTATGCTGCGGCGCCCGGGGAGCAGTTGGGGGTTCGGTGCCTTGCTCAAGGGCACCTCAGTCGTGGTATTGAAGTACATTCACTCCCCCCACCTACAATCCCTGCCGGACCTGAGACTCGAACCCGCAACATTTGGGTTATGAGTCCGACTCTCTAACCATTAGGCCACGACTTCCCCCAAACCATTGCTGGCAGCGGTGGGATACATATTTATACATCATCATCTATACTGATTATCTTTTATTAATCTTTATAAATGTTGAACTTGGTTCTGTACAGCATTCAACCACTGTTGGTTATTTGTGCTTTATAAAGAAATGAATTCTTTCATTCATTTCAGAGCTTAATAATCAAAAATATTTACAAAAATGAGAACACGTTCAGAATTTGTAATTTTGCAAAATGTCAGAAAATAGAAAGTAGGTCAAAGGAATAGTAGTAATAGAAGTAGTTCAAAGTAGTATTATATTATATTATAGCCAAGCTTTTCTGTCATTATGGCCAAATAAAAATCACAAGAAATTGTTAAAAAGTCATCATTGTACTCCAGAAGTGGCTCCAAAAATTATTATTTCTATTGCTTAATGTTAAAGTAAATATATATATATTTACTTTAACATTAATATATATATATATATATATATACTGTATATATATCTTAAATTGTCAATATACTCCAAAAGTGTGGCTGCAGACATCCATTTTCTCATGATTCACTGACATTAAAAGCTTTAAAATATAACAAATTATGTTATTAATTCCAGAAAATTATATTCATTCATACTATAATATTAAATCGTTTCTATTGTACTATTGAATTGTCTTAAAAGTAAATCAATATATTTTTTTAATTTTTCTTTTCATTAGTGAAATGTGGAAAACACTAGTTATTGGACAATAATGTCGCTCCAGTGTTATTCCAGGACACTGAAGTAAGGCCCATACCTTTGCCTGCTGCTCGGGAGCCAACAGAGAGTAGAGAGGAAGCACATACAGCGGGATGGACGGATCGGCCTTCTCCTCTGACCACAGCAAACACACACACATTAAAACACATAGTCAAGCACAGATGAAACACACCTGCATATGTAAGAGTCTCTCACCGTGATCGCTGTCTGGATGATCTCCCAGCTCCAGGTCTGAACCCTCATCATCATTGTCATCAATGCCTGCCTGACGATCCTCATCGCCCTCGTCCACAGGCAGAGCCGAGTAACTGTTCAGATTGATCCTCGGGAGGGACTGAGACAGAGATTGTGACTGTGTTGAGAATACAGCACACTTCCTGCACAAAATATCCTGGATACTGCATACTGTTTTAATAAATAGTATGATAAATAGTATGCAAGCACAAATGTTTCAACTAGTAGTATGCTATATTGTAGACTACATTTCAGTTCAGTTATGACTTCAAAATAAAAATTAGCTCATTATTTTTACAGCATTTATTAATCTTTTTTAATGTCAGATAATATAAATGCCATTGTTAACGGTTCATGTTAGTTCACAGTGCATTATCTAATATTAACAGATATTTTAGAGATACCAGAATTTTCAAAAACAAATTAGTACATTTTAAAATCAGCATTAAAGCTGCAGTCCATAATATTTGCCTGTTTGTAACCTGCAATTATCTTCTTTACATGGGTTGTGCATTGGCACGGCTCCTCAGTACGGATGAATCTAATGTTTTGAGGAGTATGTGTGGCTGTCAGTCAATGAGCCAGTGTGGATATTCACTGTACTTCGGAATTACAGATACTACGTCTTGGAAGTATGTCCAAAATAAGACGTTTGACCCGAAAATGTCATCTAAACAAGTAACATGTCTGCCAGTTTTGTTCTGACCAACTGAAAAAACAAATGGTGATTAAATGATTGCAAAATTAGCTTAAATCATGTCAAACCGTGCAAATTATGAATACTGTTATACTTTGTTTTCAAATTGTTAATGTTAATAACATAAACATTGCATGACTACATGTATTTAGTGTGTATTAGCATTATCTGCAGTTTTCATGACAGGACAACAAGAATCAGACAATCCCATATATGAGGGAATGTTCTCAGAACGTTCTCTCAAGGTTATGATCAAACGTTTATTTAAAGTTATGTGGTATTTAATAATAATAACGAAGGAACCAAAAAAGGATTATTTTATTTCTGAAATGTTTTAGTTGGATATTCATCTAACGTTTTTTAAATGTTACTACTCGTTTCAGAACGTTCAAAAGAACATTCAAAAGCAACATTACCACAATGTTTGCAAAATGTTAAAATGGAATGTTCCCTGTGCTTTTAAAGTGCCCCTATTATGCAATTTTTAAGGTTCATAATATTGTTTTGGGAGGCTCCTGATACAGGTTTACATGCATGCAAGATCAAAAAACACTTCCGTTTTCTTATAATATACATTTAATATCGCCTCAGTTCTCAATGATTCGTAAACGATTCGTTCGAAGCAGTTCGAAGGTTCAGTCTCTCTAAACCCCTCCTTTCTGTGAACCTGCTCTGCTCTGATTGGTTAGATGGCCCGGTCCTTAGTGATTGGTCTACTGCGTCCAGCGCATGCTATAGTGTTTAAGGGCGAGTCAAGTTGTTCGCAGGCGGACAATGTAGAACACAGGCGGGAATTATGCAATTGTGTTACTGTGTTACAGTGAGACTGGAATTCCTGACGACTCGTTTAGGCCGTTCAGAATCTTTTTTTTTTTAGAGACAATACCTTCTTACCGTGCACTGTCGGCTTTGCAACTTTGCAGATCGTTTACATTCACAGACAGCTACATTACACACTGCATGAAAGGTAATATTGGAAAATGCATAATAGGATGGGTTGTGCATTGGCACGGCTCCTCAGTACGGATGAATCTAATGTTTTGAGGAGTATGTGTGGCTGTCAGTCAATGAGCCAGTGTGGATATTCACTGTACTTCGGAATTACAGATACTACGTCTTGGAAGTATGTCCAAAATAAGACGTTTGACCCGAAAATGTCATCTAAACAAGTAAGTAACATGTCTGCCAGTTTTGTTCTGACCAACTGAAAAAACAAATGGTGATTAAATGATTGCAAAATTAGCTTAAATCATGTCAAACCGTGCAAATTATGAATACTGTTATACTTTGTTTTCAAATTGTTAATGTTAATAACATAAACATTGCATGACTACATGTATTTAGTGTGTATTAGCATTATCTGCAGTTTTCATGACAGGACAACAAGAATCAGACAATCCCATATATGAGGGAATGTTCTCAGAACGTTCTCTCAAGGTTATGATCAAACGTTTATTTAAAGTTATGTGGTATTTAATAATAATAACGAAGGAACCAAAAAAGGATTATTTTATTTCTGAAATGTTTTAGTTGGATATTCATCTAACGTTTTTTAAATGTTACTACTCGTTTCAGAACGTTCAAAAGAACATTCAAAAGCAACATTACCACAATGTTTGCAAAATGTTAAAATGGAATGTTCCCTGTGCTTTTAAAGTGCCCCTATTATGCAATTTTTAAGGTTCATAATATTGTTTTGGGAGGCTCCTGATACAGGTTTACATGCATGCAAGATCAAAAAACACTTCCGTTTTCTTATAATATACATTTAATATCGCCTCAGTTCTCAATGATTCGTAAACGATTCGTTCGAAGCAGTTCGAAGGTTCAGTCTCTCTAAACCCCTCCTTTCTGTGAACCTGCTCTGCTCTGATTGGTTAGATGGCCCGGTCCTTAGTGATTGGTCTACTGCGTCCAGCGCATGCTATAGTGTTTAAGGGCGAGTCAAGTTGTTCGCAGGCGGACAATGTAGAACACAGGCGGGAATTATGCAATTGTGTTACTGTGTTACAGTGAGACTGGAATTCCTGACGACTCGTTTAGGCCGTTCAGAATCTTTTTTTTTTTAGAGACAATACCTTCTTACCGTGCACTGTCGGCTTTGCAACTTTGCAGATCGTTTACATTCACAGACAGCTACATTACACACTGCATGAAAGGTAATATTGGAAAATGCATAATAGGAGCACTTAAAAAAATAAAAAAATGGGATGTTTTGAACATTCAGTGAGCACTCAGAAATAAGGTTTTCATAACCTAATGGAAATGTTAGCAAAACCTTCTTAGAATACATGTCATCATACCATATTCTTCTTTTTCTTTGCTCTTTTTGACTTCTTCAGATCTTCTTCTGTTTCCATCGAATCTGAAAGAACTTTCAGTTTGTATTGTTGGGAAGGCTGCTTAACTATTTAAGGTATTTCAATTAAACATTTACATACAAAAAAAGACAATGTAAAGTGTATTCAGCTCCTTTTGGTTAGCGAGTTCCCAGTACAGTTAAGCATAACGGGTGCTTAGTGAGTGCGAGATGTGTCTGTGTACCTGTGTGCTCTCGGTGGGGTCTGTAAGGGAAAGCCTTCCTCAGTCTGCGACACACAGAATGAACCTCCGCTTGACCCGTCAGAAACACCAGAATCCCACCTACATCAACACACACGTGTTCAGATCCCTGCATTCATGATGCAGCGCTGCATGTGCATGTATCTGTGCATATCATTCATCTTCATGAGTTTTCCATCTATGCGTGTTTAACTGACCTGGCGGCAGCATACGGTGAATCTTGCAGATCTTACGGAAAGCTTCTCCAGTGTAGTTGTCCATTGGCGTGCGTTTATTAAAATGAACCGTGACCGCAAACTGACGGGCCTCCACCTATATACAGCGTTAAAACCGTCATATATTGAACAAGTCTTTTTCTTGATCATAACCAAAGTCATTTGCATATAGAAGTGTCTTAAACACAGAACGTTCCCATATTTGGTTCCTGAAATTGTTTGGTTGTTTGTTGGGAATCCAATCATTTTTAAGGAATGTTTTTTAAAGTGCTTCTTTACAACCATGAAATAACATTCCCAAGAACATTTCATAGAAGTTTTTTTGAGACAACCTAAAAATACCTTATACAGAATGTTTCCTAACGGTTATTTTTATAACCAAAAACTAACCTTCCTAGAATGTTGGTGAGATTTTTGTGACAACCTAATGACAACATATGAACATTCTCTATTGGTTATTTTTAGGTTGATTTTTATTTTTAATTTAAAATACTTTTTTTTTTAATAATGTAAAATAAATTTTACTTTGTGTGATCACCTACAGAAGATTTTCTAACGCTTAAAGGGATACTTCACCAAAAAATTTAAATCCGATTCGTTCATCTTCAGAACACAAATTAACTGTGTTGCTGTCTATGCAGGGTCAGAAAGCTCTTGGATTCATCAAAAATATCTTAATTTGTGTTCTGAAGATGAACGAAGGTCTTATGGGTTTGGAACGACATGAGGGTGAGTAATTAATGACAGAATTTAAATTTTTGGGTGAACTAATCCTTTAAATGTTTAATTTATCATAATCTGCAGAATACATGCCTGAAGCCTTAATTTGATTAGCACCGTTTTTAATTATAAATTTATATTAAACCATAAATACAGAAAAATTAAAACTGAATTTCTGAAAAAATAAAATATTTCATAGGGCTCTATTTTTGTAAAAAAAAATTATAAATTACATAAGTTTTATGAATTTAATTGATAATACATGCTTAATGATTATTCAAATTCAATTAAACTATTAAAATGGAATCCAAAAAAATTTAAATGGAAAACACTACATTTGGAAAAAAAACGAATAAAACAGATTTCATAGGATGTTAACATTTAAATTTTTGTTAAACTTTTAATAAATTGTGGATAAACTGTATAATTTGAAAAAAAATTTTGATTACTAAAATTAAACTTAACCATTAAAATGGAATCCAGAAACATTAAATAAAAAAAAAATTAAAAAAGAGAGAATCCAGAATCATTTAAAAACGTGGAATTTGGGAAAAAAATAAAACTGATTTCATAGGGCCCTAAAAAGTAACATTTTGTTCAACTTTTAATAAATTGTTGACTGTGTAAGTTCCATGATTTCAATTAATTAGACATGTTTTTGATTGCTAACAGCTAATTTAACCATTAAAACAGAATTTCAGAAACATTAAAATGGAAAAAAAAAAATTGGGGGAAAAAAACAAAACAGATTTCAGAGTCTCCTACATCATGTCAATGTGACGTGTGATGATAACACATGTTATAGAGGAGAAATAAGAGTCATATATATATGAATGGGACACCTTGATGACCGGTGGAGGAGTTCGGAAGAGTCTCTTGTTCTCGGTGAAGTCCTCCACGCGAAGCGTCGCCGACATGATGATCAGCTTCATGGGTAAGCCTTTCTGTGAACCACAGATCGCATTGTAGACATGCCAACCACACAGATTTAACCTCTCCATCACGCATGTTCACGCGTGTTACCTTGTTGCGGAGTGGGACGATGCGTGACAGGAGGCCGATGAGGATATCGGTGTAGACGCTGCGCTCATGAGCTTCATCTATGATGACCACACTGTATTTCTGCAGCAGGAAATCCTGCAAAAACATGCATCATGACATGGATGTTAAGAGAAAGAAGATGCATTATATAATGTAATATGTGGTGCATACTATAATCTGTTGTTAGAGCTACTCAAGGCTGTTCGGCACAGTGGTTTTAATATGGTTAATATGGTCATGTCGTGCCTAACAACACTTCTGAACCGTGCTAACATCACTGTATTTCTTCACTGCACAGATGTCATACCCGCTGGGTAAATTCATCTCTGTGGCAACACGGTGAGACATGCTGATCGCCGCCACTCTCCTGGGCTCCGTCACACCAATAATACCACCAGAGCTGTGAAACAGAGAAGCAAACAATGAGAGACAGACAGCACAGATCACATACAGGCAACGGCTCACCGGCTATGACGTTACCTGGCGTATCCCGCCTCATACAGGAACTGAGGCACCTGTGTGGTTTTCCCGCTGCCCGTCTCTCCAGACAACACCACACACTCTTTTTCCCTCACCGCCTCCATGATCACCTGCTAACAACAGCGCTTGTCGGCTTCTGCAGTAAAACGTGAACTCGTGATGCCTTGAAAGTGGACAAAACCGGCTTTTTTGACAAAACGTGTTTAGGGTTCAGATCGCGCTATGTGTTGAGATTAATGCACGGCAATCAGCTCTTTTTTTTTTAAGTGGCGTTTATCGGTTTTTGCAAATGAACTTTTCAATTATTCATGAGAACAGGTAATGCATTAAAAGTCATAATTAATGCATTAAATACTTTCATAATGCATTATATACATAGGCTTCAAGTAAAATGATCATATTTGTTCTTTCATCCATTTATCAGTTAATAAATCCACCATCCAACATCATAATTTAAGAGGGCAGTTTTTGGTCACTGCAACGTGGATCAGAATTGAATTGAATTAAACTGAATTGAATAATGTATTAATTGTGTTTGAAGAACACTAAAATTTTGCAGTCACTTAAAGTGGGCAGTTTTTCATCAGAATAAGCTGCAATGTGGACCAGACTTTATGCTGATTTAATAGGTATTAATTGCATTTGAAACACTTCTCATACTCACACACTTTAAAACAATCTGTTTCCTGTACCTGAATCTCCGGCAGCCGATCCACAGGAATAAACACGGCAGGTTTACAGTCTTCTTTCTTATGCATTTCCTCTTTCACGTCTTTATCGTTCTTCTCTTCCTTAACATCAGTCTCTTTCTGTTTCGCCTCCTCTCTCAGCAGCTGCGGCTCTTCTGTGGGGTTTTCCTCCTCTTCCTCAGATGAGTCTGACCCCTCATCATCATCCTCCTCTGATGTCTCGGACTTCTCAGATCGCTCTTCATCCTTATCATCATCATCATCATCCACCTGTCTTCTTCTCTTTCTGTTTGCTCTGCTCACACTGCTGATCCTGACAGTAGTTGAATCAGCATTCTGATCTTCATTCACAGATCTGCAAGCACACACAGTGACGTATTTTCATATATTTTCAACATAAGCTGGTCAGAGTCCTGTACGGTTTGATCTCTTACTCTTTGGTCTGGTAGAGTTTGTCTCCAGTGCCGAGTTTAGATGTCGTGTAAAGTAGTTTGAGCTCTGAATCAGGCAGCTGAACCTCAGCTAGTTTAGATAATATATCTGCTCTCTGCGGAGAAAGAGAAACATGCAAATTACTTCTATATAACAAACAGCATCAACTAAACCCTGCAGACACATCAGTCTCACAAACTCTCTCTCCTTACATGGGCTTTTTTCTCTTTCAGCTCCAGAACTTTCTCCAGGTTCTTCTTCTGCTTCTTTGTCAGGGCTTTTTTCTTGGCTACAGGATGCTCTACTTTTTGTTTCTTGGTTTTGGTGGCGGGCAGAACAAGAGCGTTGCAGTCGTCTACTCCTTTAAGCATGGCTCCATCTGCACACAATCGCATCACACAAAGCACACACATTTGAATTGCACACGTGTGAAAGAGTGCAGACATACTTAATATCTTGAAAATGACACAAAACAAGTTCTACAGCTGTCATGTGATACTTCTACAGTATCGTACCATCATAAAAACCTTCATCTAGATGATTCAGTGGACATTATAATAATTAGTGATGCATCTAAAAATTAGCTGAATTCAACTGAAATTAGCCTTTGTTTAGAATAACTAAACAAATTACACTCCTGGGCAAAAAAAAAAGAAAAACGAGCCAAGCCTAAAATGCCTAAACTCTAAGCTTTTAATGATCTAAACCACAAGTTATTAGTAAGGAAATTAGCAAGAATTAAGTCAAATGCACTCCTGTCTCAGATAATGACACTATTAAAAGCGAAATATTTAGCCATTTTTGGCTTGGCCCTTTTTTCGCCCAGGAGTGTATATATTAATATTATAGTATTTTTTAGATCATAATCGTCTATCATCACCGTCTGCATTTATGTGCGGTTTTCTGTTTCCCTGTGGTCAAAACTGAACGTTCACTGAGAGAAACATTTCAAAAGCTTTACTATAATATAATATAATATTTGTCTAAACACTAAAACTTTTACTTAATAATAAAAATAGTAATAATAGAAGTTGTGATAATAATAATAATAATGGAATTTTGCTTTGCTTTGTGGCCATTTTAATTATTTTTAATGAACTGTAAGAAACTGATATATAAATGAATAAGAAAAACAACTTCACCTGTAAATATATGCAATCCCCAATGTTCCATGCTTGTTATTGGATGTTAAAGGTGGGGTAAGTGATTTCTGGTAGCCAATGTTGATATTTGAAATCACCAAAACAAACACGCCCCTACCTCAAAAGTGCCTATTTTGATAGCTCCACCCCACACATACGTACGCAACCCAGGCAACGATTAGTTCTGTGAAACAAAGCAAAACTGCTGCTGCGTTCCATTCATGACGTATTGACACAAATTTCAAATGATTTTCAACGGTCGCTTTGTCGCGTCCAGTGTACTAGACAGACTTTAGCTGTTGCGGCGCAGACACGGTGTTACTCACCGATCGAGAAGAAACAAAGCAACCTCGGCGTCCGATCGCAGGCCATTCGCTCCTTGTGTTCTCTCCAGCGCTGGAAAGCTGATCCGATATTTACACGGGTCCTACTTCTTGCCTTAAGCCTTCTTTTGTTCCGCAGACGTTTTCCTCTTTTGTTTTTTTATCCACCATCTCTATCTTTCTGTCGCTCGGCTCGCTAATGTCCGTCCTGTGCACTGAACGCTCTCTCCTCCACATCTTGAGTAGACACCCCCCCTTACTGCTGATTGGCTACAAGTTTGTTTTGCTATTCAGCTATTCTGTTTTTGGAAAATCGCTTACCCCACCTTTAAATGAATGGTTTCTGCTTCTTATTGCGTCCCTAATGACAACGACTTATATTGTAGAGGTAATGATCGCGCATGCATCTTACCTTGTATCTCCACCTGCACATCTGTCTGTCTGTCTGCAGCAGCTGTCTGCGCAGATGTGCTCTGCTGTCTGCCTTTCCAGTTGTGTTTCTTTCTTAATCTGCCCATGGCTGAACTTTACAGATCTAAACACAAACCCTCAGAGACGTGAAGCTCAGCAGAGAATGTGATGAGAATCTGTCAAGAACACGACAAGAAACTTGAAATGAAAATAAAATCACAGTGCAAAAATATTTTGTCATTGTCGTTTTATTCAAGCAAATATTTGATGCGTGTTTTCATTTTGGGTTGAAATGTGACATCGATATCCTCCTGGGACTCATAGAGGACATTATATTTGAGTGAATTTCTCTGAGACCCTACATGCCACAGTTTAAAGTCTAGATGTCCCGTACAGAGCACATTCAGGGCTTTTTAGAGATATCAAATGTTTGGAGGTTTGATCATAAACACTCCCTCTCCTTGGTCTTTAAATATGACTGACATTGATAGAATTATCAAATTTAGCATTCTTAGGGAAATATGATCATGTTTTTTAATGATCATTTAAATATGGCTAATAAACATCTCATAGATGTTGTAAATAAACATCTCAGAAAAATGTTATGGGGTTACAAATGCGGACTTTTTGTTACGAAACGGGGCATAATTTGCATCCATGTCTTCTGTAGAGGACACCAGGACAAACATCATGTTAATCAGGCAAGTCAATAGGGAAAGAAATTATAGATCAATATTCCTATGAAATATGAGCAATTCGTATGAAAATGTCGCCAAGTTATTACTCCCATTATTACACTTCTTTTTTGTCATTATGGTTTGCCCCAAGAACACATTAATATTCAAATGAGATGCAATCTATAGATATTGTATAGAATGGGAATACCAATGTATGGACAATTAACGCACATATTGCATTAAAAGAGTATATTAAATCATCCTGTTATATCTTTCATAACATAGTTGAGAATCATCTTTGTGCAAAGGTTGGCTAAAAATAGCCAGAAACCTAAAAACGGATTGGTGAATGAAAAAAAAAAAACATTGTTTTGACCTATACATGCCTTTTCATGTCTATTTTTTATTTATTTATTTATTTTTAATAACTTCTAGTGGCGTCCTCTATAATGGACATAGAATAAAATATGAATAAAGTATATATTTTTTTATGTTCTTCCAAAAAATGAATAATAATAATAATAAAATAAAATAAAAAAAATCACACCAAAAAAAAAAATTCTGGTTCTCAGGAGGATATATGGCTGGACATGTTTTCGTGATTTTCTCTCCAGCTACTGCTGACCAACACATCTTTTACCACTCATTGTGGCTCATTCGAGTATGTTCTGTGTTATAATGTGAGATATCGAGATCATCTTATATCTGCTCACATGTGCTGATGTGATGTGTTTGCGCTGCTCGAGATCAGCTAACAGATTCACTAAAAACCACTAAATCACTGACGCTGGAAAGCTTCTACGTTATCAAACATTGACTACATTAATAGGATCGCTACGTCCTTTATCCGCATAAAAAATCATTGTAACCAATTCATCTAAATGTCTCGATATTCGAAAAGACTCACGTGTTGATGCTGTGGTGATGTTATGCAACCTTTAAATGAGACCGATGCGCTTCAGCAGCGATAAAAGGTTCCGGGATCGATGAATCCGGACACTAGTGCGCCGGAAGTGCTGCTGCTTTTGCATAGTTTGTGCCAAAACTCAGGCCAAAACAATATCTTGGCTATCTATAATATTTTTTAGTTTTGAGGTAATTAATGCACTATTTTTAATTTGGGAATCAGGATCAAAGGAGCTGGGTGATAGCTTAAAACTGTTAACTCTTTGTGGCCTATTTCATCTTCACAAATGTAAAGTTACTGATTGCATGCCCAATTTGAGGACTTTTTGTATTGATTTGAAATTATTTTATGAATCTCTCTGCTCTTCACTTAACAAGAAAGCTGTTAAAACTACTGTACTGATGGAAACAAATATTGACTTTAATGTAAACCTCCTGTGTATTCTTTGAAGTTGACATTTTATATGTAATTTTCCATTTACGTTATTTTTTAATTGAATTAATTTAATTTATAAAAAGGAAAGAAAATATTTTTTTATTTTTGTTTTTGTTCTTTATATTTCATTTGTATTATTCTTTATATATTTGTTTTGTATTCTGGTTGTGTATGTCATTTATTGCTATGACTGTATCCCCTGTGAATGTTATATATTCAATAAAAAAAAGAAAGAAAAGGAAAAAAAAAACTCAGGCCAAAGCATGCAAAGTATAATACATTACATGCAATTAAAATAATCAAAAACCATTCAATATTAAGTGTTTGTATAATATGTTTTTAATGAGTGTGGCTTGTTTTGGTTTATGGAGAGCTTGTCTTTTTTAAATGTCTACAAATTTATAAAACTGATCCGAGATCAGGTAAAAACCACAGACACTTATCGCGAATTATAACTTTCAATAAGAGAAACATTTCAAATGTATTATTATTAATACGAATAAATGCCTTATTACATTTATATCCTGCTATATGTTATGTTTTATATTATTTTAACTTATAATTATATTTGATTGCATAAAGTATATCAATAACAACAACAATAATCATACTAATAATAATGAGGATGATGATGATGATGAAATATGTGCTTTGTTTTTGCAACCTTAAAAAAACTTAAAAAAATTTTTTTTTATTGAAGCTATATAAAAAAGAAAAGGATTTAATAGTGAATAACAAACGTTCACTAAGAGAAACATTTCAAATGCATTATTATTAATATTAATATATGCCTTTTATATTATGCTATATTTTGTGTTTTATATTATTTGAAACAAACATTATAATTTGTAAAGTATAGCAACAACAACAATAATATTGCGCTTTGTTTTTGCAACCTTAAAATATTTCATTGAAGCTATAAAAAAGGATGTAATCGAACACAGCACACATGCACCTGTAAATAGGCACCGAAATTGTTTAATTCATTGTGACCAATGGATCAAGTTTACAAGAGTGTAATTTTTACAAAGAAAGTACAAAAGAAATGTCAATTGTATTTATATAGCACTATTAAACAACACACGTTGACCAATGCGCTTTACATCATCTCTGTATAAAAACAGAATAAGAAATAATTAAAAACATCACTTATGATAGTAATAATAACAATACAAAACAACAACAACAACAATAATAATGATTGTTTATTATTATTATTCTACAAAAAGAATACGCCATGACAAACAAGTGTGTCTTAATCTGTATTTTTAAAACATGTAGGTATAGAGTCAGCGTCATGTGAGGGTAAGCTATTCCAAAGTCTTGGCGCTACTAATCGTACGAAAAGTACATTTTGAGTTGTTAGAAGAAGTGGGCTCAATTTTGCACATTTTACAAATGACTTATATGTAAATCTCTTAGAAGAAACAAAAAACAAAAAAGCATTGAAAACATGTAATGCTCTGAAAGCATTGAACTTGATGTCATTTTCTTTCTCTTTTTTTTCTCTGGCAGCTAATAATGTTAATTTGATCATGTGAATATGTAACACCTCATGTTCTTGTGGCATTGAATTAATAAAGCAAATGAGTTGTTGAACTCAGTGTTCTTCCAGTCTGCTTCTTAATTAGCAGATCTGATAAATAAGCCGGTGCAAGGCCATGCAAAGATTTATACACTATAAAAGAAGCTTAAAATCAATCATATAGGCTAGGCTACTGTACAGGAAGCCAGTGTAGGAGACCGAGGATGGAGTGATCTGTTCACGTTTTTTAATATTCATTAAAAAAAAGGGATTTATTCTTTATTTTTACAGTAAATATTTGGTTGTCTAAACTAAATTAAGCAGTTTTTTTGCTTGACTGTGTGCACACAAAAAAAGCCATTAAAAAGGAGATAAATATAAAAGGGACATTTATATGAGAAATAAAAATGAACTGTGCAAAATTATTACTATGAAATGAACACAGTTCCTTTTGGTCTGGTTTGAGGCCGTCTCGTCCTACAAGCTCCTGTCTTTTAACATGGTGTATTCATCCTCCGCCGTGAAGCTCTCCGCGGCCGTGCACCTCGCCTCCCGGGTGAGCAGCTCAAACCGCCGGAGGAAGAGGATGACAGAGGCCAGCAGGAGCACCTGCACAGTGATGAAGATGAAGAGGCTGATCTGAGAGGCCAGAGCCAGATCACACAGCCAATAACGACAGGACTCCAGCAGCTCCTGCTCGGACAGATATGCGAGCAGGCGCCCCCTCAGGTGAGCAGGAGAACTGCAGCTGACGTTCCTGGGAAAAAAAAACACAAAATTTCAAGTATCAACTTCGTTTCGGATGTTTCTAAAGCTCCTTGCGTAAATGAAACAAGCTTTTCAGGTGTTTTCTCAGGATGAACGTCTGAGAAGCAGGAGACTTTACTTGTATTGCTGTCTAACAAGTGAGATATTAAAGGGGTGGTTGATTGCGATTTCACTTTTTTAACGTTAGTTAGTGTGTAATGTTGCTGTTTGAGCATAAACAATATCTGCAAAGTTACGAAGTTGAAAGTTCAATGCAAACGGAGATATCGTCTTTTAAAATTCTGGCAGTTTAATGCCTACAAAAATGGCTGGTAGGGACTACAACGAGTTACTTCCTGGGTTTGTGACATCACAAACCCACATAAACCCCGCCCTCGGGAAAAGGCAGCAAAGGGGGCGAGGCCATGCTGCGCTGCTTTAGAGAAGAGGAAGAGAAAACTACAGGTGCATGTAAAAATCTATTTATATATGAATCACGATTCTGTCTTCTAACGATTCTAATGGATTCACAAGTTTCAAAATCAATGTTCTAAAGCAGCGGTTCTCAATACTGTTCCTCGCGTCCCCTGCTCTGCATCTCTCTCTCTCTCTCATTCAGATCATCAGCTCAGTTCTGTTCCATTTATACACCTATTTTCACATAGCTATGAGAAGCGTTATACATGGGCGCACGTGCAGTTTCCGTACTGTATTAAAGCTTTAATCAGGACAAAACCGTATATTAAAAGCTAACAAACGTATTAGACAACAACAAACAAAAAACATAGGCCTACCATTAAAAGCAAGCAGGAAAAGATCAGCCCGTTTCTCAGAGAAGGGACAGAGAGGTGTGGAATAAAGATGAATTATGTGAAAAATAATGAGTTTTTAAAAAAACAAAGCATTAACACGTGTTAGACTGCACCTCATAAACACAATCAAGCCTAGAAAAAAATCTCTCAGTTACTTACATAGAAATGGCAAGTAGCACACTGAATTAAACAATCATACTAAAAATGTGTAAGAAACAACAAATACGATGCAGGGCTATGGTATATTTAAAATACCTCATAAAATATATAGGCCTACCTTCTGACATCATGACTGAACAGATGCTGATCAATTATATGGATATGGAACTATATTGTGAAATTTTAAAGACTGAAATTGTGTTTTCTTCTTGTCGAACATACTCCAATAATCTTTATTTACAACTGTGAAAAATCATTAATAACTAACAGATATCACCATGCTTCCCCAGTTAAGTAGTCACAGTACATGAAGACATTCAGTTTTGTACAATTTTTCTGAAATGTTATGTTTGAATATGCAAATTATATCTTATCTACTTTAAAAATGCACACATTTGCATACATTTCCATAACAGAAATCTGAACATTGAATGCAGGGTCACCATTATTTTCTTCCGTCATCTTAGTATCATTGAGATATTATTATAGTTTTTATTTTTTTATTTTCTGATTCCATTTTAGTTGAAGTTTTAGTAATTTATTGTGTTTTTGTCATTTTTATAAGTTTTTAAAATAGGTCTAATGTATATATATTTTTTTAATTAATTTGTAATTTTATTTTTAGTTATATTTGTTTTATTTTTTTAGTGTTCAAATATCTGTTGGTTCCATGTATGGAGTGCTAAACTGAATAGACAGCGATGTTTAGGCTTATCTGGAATTTCAGGAGGAAGCAAAGGAAGCAGAGAAGACAAAGATAAAGTACCAGGATGATACAAACATTTCATGGTCTCAATGTAGAGGAAAAAGCACTTACAAATCTAATGCACATTTTTAGGTTGAAATTGAATTGCAAAATGACAAAAACATTTAATTCAATGAAACTATTAATTTATAATTAAATACAATTAATTAATGCTGACAAACAAGTACTAAAATGTTATTGGATCATGTTTTTGGTATGCACAATGGTAAGGTTTTTTTTATTTTTATAAATGCAATGGTACATGAAAATACAATGGTATATATAGTGTCAGAGTATTCCATTTATTTGATATTATTTTGCTTTATTTTATTTTATTAGGTTTTTGCAATAAAGCTTTTTTTATTTTATATAGCTATATTTAATTTTTTTATACTTTATTTTATTTGATCAAACATAAAGTTATATTCCTCAACATTTGACACTTAGAAAATAGCTTATGTTCTTATTTTATTTAAATATCTCATTTTAACCAACAACACGTAGTATTCATTAAATAGAAGCGTGTGTTTACCAGCCCTTTAGCTCACTGATGTTCCCAACGGGTGATGAGCAGAAACAGATTAACAATTTTGGATGAATAATATTTAATTACCATCTAAATAAATCAAGAATAAGT